AAAAAATTCAAGCCCCAGATGGCAATACTGAAGGATTCTTTGGGCAGAATATTGACTGATGAAGAAAGCATTAAAAGAAGGTGGAAGGAATACACAGAGTCGCTGGACCAAAAGAATTGGTCAATGTTCAACTATTTCAAGAGCTAGCATCTCAAGGTACTGAAGGAAGAAGTCTGAGCTGCCCTGAAGGCATTGGTGAAAAACAAAGCTTCAAGAATTGATGGAGTACAAATTGAAATGTTTTAAGAGACTGATGCTGTGCCGAAGTTGCTCACTCATCTATGCTACCTGGCCAATCAATTGGAAGAGTTCTATATATGTGCCCATTTCAAAGAAAGGAGACCCAATTGAGTACAGAAGTCAGCAAACAATATCATTAATATAGCATGCAAGTAAAATTATGTTGAAGATAATTTAAAAATGGTTGTAGTGATTCATGGACAGGGAGCTGCCAGAAATTCAAGCTGGATTCAGAAGAGGATGTAGAACAAGAAATAATCATTGTTGACAACAGATGGAGTTTGGTTGAAAGCAGAGAATACCAAAAAGATGTTTACGTGTGATTTATTGACTATGCAAAGGCATTCAACCATGTAGATCATAACAAAATATGGATAACATTGCAAAGAATTGGAATTCGAGGACACTTAATTATGCTCATGATGAATCTGTACACAGACCAAGAGGCAATTGTTCGAACAGAACAAGGGGATACTGAATGATTTAAAATCAGGAAAGGTGTGCACTAAGATTGTATCCTTTCACCACATTTATTCAATCTGTATGCTGAGCAAATAATTGGATAAATTGGATTATATGAAGAAGAACGTAGCATAAGGATTGGAAGCAGACTCAGTAGTAACCTGTGATATGTGGATGACACAGCCTTGCTTGCTGCAGGTGAAGAGGGCTTGAAATGTTTACTGTTCAAAAACTACAGCCTGCACCTGAATGTAAAGAAAACAAAAATCCTCGCAAGTGGACCGGTATGTAACATCATGATAAATGATGGAAACATTGATATTGTTGAAGGCTTCATTTTTATAGGACCCACACTCAACACTCATGGAAACAGCAGTCAAGAAATCAAGCGATGTATTGCCTTAAGCAAATCTGCTGCCAAAGACCTTAAAGTGTTGAGCAAAGATGTCACTGTGAGGATGAAGGTGCGCCTTACCTAAGCCATGACATTTTCTATCTCCTCATATACATGTGAAAGTTGCACTGTATAAGTTGTACAAGGAAGACTGGAGACAAATTGATGTGTTTAAATTATGGTGTTGTAGTAGAATATTGAAAGTACCATGGACTGCCAGAAGAAGAAAAAACTTTCTCTTGGAAGAAGTTTAGCCAGAATGCTCCTTAGGAGCAAGGATGGCCAGACTTAGTCTTTCATTCTTTGGACATGTTGTCAGGAGAAACCAGTTCCTGGGGAAGAACATAATTCTTGGTAAAGTGGAGGGTTAGCAAAAAAGAGGTCGCTCCACAATGACATGGATAGACATAGTGCCAGCAACAATGGGCTCAAACTAACAATAGTTGTGATGTTGCCGCAGCACCGCGCAGTGTTTCCTTCTGTTGTGCCTAGGGTTGCTGTGAGTCGGCACTGACTTGCCAGCACCTAACAACAATGGAGAAGCATGAGCTGCTTCCGAGAAAAATTTTTTTGCTCCAAAAATATTGTTGTGATCTTTTATTTACCATATGCCTAGGACTTTAAACAAGTTGTAGCATTTATTATTTTGTTGGTTCTCAGCAACACTATCAGGTAGGCTGCCAGACTTCTCAGCATGAGTTTGATATTCAGACAATCAAACATGAAGAATAATGCCAACTGTTAGAAAATAACTTCACAGTTTATAATTTTGCTGTAATATTTTGAAGAGAAATTCTTAGAAGTTTTTTTAAGTTATAAAAAAGTATAAACAAAGTCTTAAGAGAACTTGAAAGTAACATGAGGGTGTTGTTGCTGTTAAGTGCCGTCAAGTCCGTTCTGACACATAGTGACCCTGGATAGTGGTTCCGAGGCTTTGCATTGTTTGCTGGAGCAGAAAGCCTCCCTTGTCTCTCACGCGGCACAGCCAGTGGGCTAGAACCACGGACTTTATGGTTTGCAGTCTAGTGCTTATCATATGGGGCCGCTGCACTCCATGGGGGATTCAGTGCCCTGTTCATTCAGAATTTACCATCACTCTAAATTAACATCTTTTAGTGTGTTATGTTATCCTAAGAAAAGTGAAATGAAATGCAGATGACAGTACAAGTCGTATGTGCTTTTCTCACACAAAACATATTGTGTAGATAGGATGATCACTGAACTGCGAACCTCAAGGTCTGCAGTTCAAACCCACCATCCGTTCCTCATAAACCCTCTGTAGGGTTGAACTGACTCGACGGCAGTGAAGAACAGCAACATCCTTCATGAGTATGAGATTGCATTAGAAAGCACCCCTCATCTGTTCTTTGTACCCTCCAGAGGCAGAGCTCCAGTTTAGAGGAAGTGGGATTTAGATGGATGAGTCCTCCTCAACCCCAGGAACAAGTGGCCTTCCTCCGATCAAGGGCCGAGGCATGGCAAGAATGTTTTATTTCTTCCCTAGAACTTAAAGCTGTACATTAACCTCAGCCCAGGACTAGTGGCTAAAATATTCACTCTTTGCCCAAATTGAGGCAACTAAAGAACTATTTAGATGTTAAAGACTTTAAGAATTTTTGTATAAGAATGAAAGAATCCCTTTTTCCAATTTGAATTTCATGTGCTATTTCTACTTGCTATAAAAGATTTTCAGTCAGTTTTCAGAGTGACATCAAACATGCTCTTTTAATTATTCTTTTATAAATTGCAAGTGAGAAAAATATGGTTTGTATGTCATGCTCATTATAGGCCAGAGTGTTTTGTGTACAGTGCTTTTAGGAACACCACATAGGCAGTTTTTAGTGTTCAAATGTTTGCCATCTTGAAGAACAAACAAGATGGTGAAGAGGGTGGAAGTGCAGTGAGGAACTCCGATAGCAATGACACAGAATACCAGACCAAGCAGGCTCAGGGGATGGTGCCAGAACGCTGAACCATATATAAGGAAATATTTAGAAGATTGGAAGGCTTACAGCTAGGGGAATTGGTAGAAGAAGCAAGAAATCCATTGCTTTCTAATTCAAGATGCTCAGCTGATCCTAGAGTCGCAATCTCAGGTGATACCAAGCAGGGCAAGGATCAGCAGCTTATAGACGCCTCACAGAACTGCGGAGATAAAAGTGAATGGACATTCTTTTCTTTTTTTTAAATCTGTTCATTGGTCTCTCACTGTTTGCACACCTCCATTCTGGTGACTTGAGGGGTGCCTGAGCAAGTGGACACCCCACCCCCGGAGTGTTCTACTACACATGCACACAGATCTTCTTGAAATTTAAAGGCACAGTTTCCACTTAAAACCAAATGGCAGTGTAAAATGGCCACAGCCGGCCGTGAACTGTTTATCACTAGGCAAACGTCCTGAGCGGGGCTTGTGGAGTGGGACAGGCAGACTAAACAGGAAATAGGCCAAAAATTAAATCCTGAGTTACATCACAACAAACAACAAAGGCATCTTGAAATTTCAAAGTAAGAAGAGTGAAAAGGGAAGCCCATCTCCTGATTACATCTACCTGGAGGCAATCAGAAAGCATAAAAAATACCAAAATACACACCCATATAAGTATTAAGGTCACAGATAACTCCTGAATATGCAAAAAAAAAAAAAAAACAAACCCTGAAACAGATGACCATATCAGCATATGTCCAGAAACGAGATAAAGTGACTGAGGCAAATGAGCTGGAAGTAGACCTTCACTCCATACTGGAAGATGGGCAGGCTTTGGAAATGCTGGAGAAAGAATAAAGAAAAATTGTTATAAAATGTATCAAAACACTATACAATAGAGTTGAGAAAAATAAGGAAGAAGTCAGGAAAGCGCTACAGGAACAATCAAATAAGATAGATACAGCATTAGAAACAATAAAAAACCTACAGAAAGAGGTCCAAATGATTAATAATAGAATATCAGAAATGGACCATACACTGAAAGGGCAAAGGATAGAAGCCAGAACTGGTGAGCTAGAAGATAAATCTCTCAACACTACTAAGATAAAAGAGCAAGCATAAAAAAGTAGGAAAAAAATCTGAAGAAGGCCTAAGATTCATGTTGGACAACATGAAGAGGAGTAACTTAAGAATTATCAGCATTCTGGAACAGGAAGAATCACACAAGTCCACAGAGGAGATAGCTGAAGAACTTCTGGAAGAACATTTCCCTAACATCCTGAAAAGCAAAAAGACAAGCATTCAAGAAGCTCAACGAACCAACCCCAGGAAGGATAGAAAGTCACCAAGACATATAATAATCAAGCTTTCCAAAATCAAAGATAAGGACAGGATCTTGAAAGCAGCTAGGGAAAGGAGAAATATAACATATAAAGGCAAGCAAATCAGATTAAGCTCGGGTTTCTCAACAGAAACCATGCAGGCAAGAAGGCAATGGGGAGACATATCTAAAACCCTGAAAGGAAAAAAATTCCAACCAAGAATCCTGTACCCAGCAAAGCTGTCATTCAAATACAATCAAAACATTCCAGGATAAACAGAAGGTAAGGGATTTTGCCAAAGGAAACCCTGCTGTGAAAAACATCTTAAAGGAAGTTCTGTGGACTGAGAACCAACAAGAACAGGCAACAACCAGAGATTGATGTACGTGGTAGCATCACCCTGAACTCAATCAACAAATGGAAGAATCAAGAACAGAAGAAAACTATGAGAACAGAGGATCTGGGGGGTCAGTCTATGATCAAAACAATTACAATGTGAAAGAAGGGAAACAGAGATCCAGGTGGTAAGAAGGTCAGGTGAATTACAGGATACAATAGACTGTCTTAAATGGAGAGATGAGTTAATGGAATATAAGGTAATCACAATGGTGAGGTTGGGGTGGGGGTTTTAGTTCAGGTGTTAGGGAAAGGCAATACAAGAAGGGGGAGGAGGTGGAAGAACAAGATAGATAGGGGAACACTGAGACAGGTTTGCATGGCCTAAGTGGGGGACAGAGGTAAATAGTAATGCATGCTCAACCTTGGAACAACAGGGCTCTGTGATACAGGGATCTAGGCATAGTTTGAAAAGGGGAAATAATACTAAGATGCTTCATTGTCTTATGAATATTGGTTTCCCTTGACTACTATTGTAAAATAGACACTTGAGTGGGATAGAAATAAATGTCAGGAAAAATGATTACCTAAAAGGGGTTCTACTACTTGCCCAGTGAAATAGACCTCTTGAGGAGCCTTTGTAGAGTATAGGACCTTAGGTGGAATCCTGAGTCCCATCCAGAACCTTCTGAGGTGGGACATTCCCACTAGCAAGGACGAGCAGACTAGCCTGGAACAGCTATAGTGACAGAGATATATCTTCAAAGAAAGATCGTCAGGAAAAACCCAAAACAAAAATGTCAGCATGACTGGCTACTATAAAAATAAGCAAGCTGTTCGCCAGGAAGCCATCAAGGCAAGCAGACAAACTTCCCTCTAAGAATGAAACTCAAAGGAAACACATGAACAGGCATGTAAGCTTGCTGGTGACCACATTGGTGTACTGGTGAGTGAAAGACAGAGAAAGGCAGCAATGAAGAAATGGGCTGAGTTCAACCACGGTCCATTGACTCCCATTGACCTGGAGATGGGAGAGAGAAGAGGAAGGGCTGTTTGGTCCAAAGTGTGGTGACACCTGGGGACACTTGAGCCTATGGACAAGGACAAAGCCACAGAGGGCTAGAACTGAGAGTGAAGCATCCAGCTGATATGAAGTGAGGGGAGACGCACAAGAACACCCAAACTTGCAGACAGTACTCATTTGACCCAGCCTCGATTGTTTGATAATCAGAACTCGATTAGAGGAAGATTTAAGAGGGAAAAAAAAACACTTTTTTTTTTATAACGAAAACAAGGGTAAATTGCTACAATTTGATGAACCTGACCCATCCATACTCATGGAGGTAGTAACTCTAAATACCAACAGAGAGGGAAGGAGTCGTCACATCAAGTATCAATGCTATCCCTTCTGTACACAGGGTAGATAGGGACAGGCAACTTAGACATTGGCTAACTAAAATGAAGGGGCAATAAAGGCATGAAGTGACTGTATTATAAGGCTTCAAGAGGGAGTTTAAGAGTGTGGGGGGAAGAAAGAGTTCCCACAAAATAGTTTTCTTCTTGTCTAGATGGATTTGGTGAAAAGAGATGGGGATAAGATTCTTGTGATGCAATAGTGAGTAATTGTTATCGTGACTAATTGCAAATGTCACAATTGTAAAGGTAGAAGTTTTGTAACAAAAACAGGGGAGTGATTAATCTTACAGTCCAGAAACAGGACCCTAGGACCATCAAGGGAGAAGTGCACAAGAAGAATGTGGGACCTTATCCAGAGCAGCGACGTCAGAGACAGAGGCAGAGATGGTGACATGGAGAGAGGGAGTGACTGAGGACTCTAGATTCTTGGGAAGAGAGGGAGTAAGGTGTGGTGGCCAGGAGGCAGACTTGCAGAATGTGCCCTTTGGAGGTGTAAATTATTATATATGCCTGTGTGTTTTTTTTTAAAAAGAGCTGAAGTGAGTAGAGAGAAATACTGTTAAATGATGGTACATGGAGGAGATTATAATCTTTGTAATGAAACAAGGTGTATGATTTGTTGACTGTAAAACTGATAATCTGTCCCATGAACTTTCACTCAATCCACAATAAAAACCTTAAAATAAGAAAAAGCTCGATCCACCTAAAAACTGTTGTTTTATGTGGGGCAGAATTCCCATAAACTTATTGCAAAGCTTCAATGATTTCAAAAGACGTTCACTTGAGTTTTTGTGGGGTTTTTTTTTAGTTTTTACTTTGAATTGAGTGAAAGTTTAAAGGACTGATCATCAGTTTTACATTCAATAAATCATACTTTGTTTCACTGCGGGGGGAAAAAAAAAAAAAAGGTCCCACTTGGTGGGACCTGAGACCATAAGATCAGGCGGGAGGAGCAGTCCTTCTCAGTCATTGAATACACGGCCTGGTTTATTCTTAGAACTATTTTATAATCAAACATTTATATGGAAGTCTAATGTATTGACAGTGAAACCTCTGAGAGCCAGAGTGCAGTGCGACTGCCTTGTTGTTCTACATCTTGAAAGTTCTCTGCCTTTGATAGAGTGTGGCCTGACCACTTTCCTGCCGCTTGTTTTCTTTCTCTGACAGCTTTCTACCTGACTCTGGTTCTGGCTTCAGCAGGTTTTACTGGATAATAGAAATAATAATAATTTTTCTTTCTCATTTCCCTTTTTCCTCAACTGATGCCTTGGCAAAGGACTCTAGTCCTTTCACTTATTAACAATAACCAGTGTGATGGCTGCTGTGTGTTTTTTCCATATCAGCATTATCTAGTTTCATTTTTGCAGTAGCATCATGAGGTAGATGCTTTTACTGTCTATTTTATAAGCTCAGAGAGGCAGAGGGAACTAGCTGGGCAGGGATTTGAACCCAAAGTTCACTGTCTTCAAGTCTGACTTTAACCATTTAACCAGATTGCCTTTCATGATGCTTTAAGTTAAATGAGCAAAAGAAAACCAAGTGGGAGCCTTCTCTGTTGTGACACTTTACATTGCATTGTTTTTTGTCACATTGGAATTTGTCCACACTTACTACCTGATGCTGTTGTTAAGTGCGACAGAGTTTGTTCCAAGGAGTGGCTGGTGGGTTTGAACCACCAACCTTGCAGTTAGTAGTTTTGTGCGTATCCTACAGCACCACACTAGAATTCCTGTTTGCTCAAATTTGCCCCCAAATAGCTTGTGACAGGGGACATGTTATGATCTTCTAATGAAAGAAAGAAAGGGGTGTACAGTGTACAAATCCCAAGGGACTGGCCTCGAGTCACTGCACAGTGGCAGAACTGCTTCGTAACTCATCTCCCAGGCCTCAGTTGAGGTCCTTCCTCGGGACCCAATTTATCCTTACATATGAGTTCAACTAGTAGGGGTTCTTCACCTTCAAAGAGTTGAAGTAAAGTTCTAAACACTTCCTGTAGAATTAAGGAAGCGTGCTCCATTTAGTTTGAGGCAGTGTCTGAAGGGAGAGTTACGGAGCCAACCTGTTTTCATTCGTGGATTTGCACCACACTCTGTTTAATAGGGACATGATCATTTTCCTAGTATCTCAGAGATGGTACATTTCAGCCCTTGCAGGAATTTGCAAGATAAAACCCTGAATATGACCATTTGAATATCCATCAGGGAAATGGTGGTGGTCTTGGGTTTCCTTTTCTAGCCAGGTTGGGGCAGAGGCACAGTAACTTTTTTTTCATGAAAGCATTTGTTTCCTGTCTGTTTTTGCATTTTCAGAAAATGTTAAAAAATGCTTCTTCTTTTAAGGTCTAGAGCCCTTCAGGATTGGACCGTACACCAACTTTGTTAATATTGGAGAACGCTGTAACGTTGCAGGATCCAGGAAGTTTGCTAAACTCATCATGGCAGGAAACTATGAAGTGAGCATCTTAATCAGACCCCTGACGCATCTGCAGTGTTGTTGGCTAGACGGCATGTAAATGAAGCAGTGCTGCTTTTGATTGTGTTAGGAGAAGAACTGCTGAAAAGTGTGAGAATGAGAAAGTGTTCACAGCAAGCTGGGCTGGTGGGAGGATGAGGCTTACAAAACTGAAACTGCTTTATCAGTATTTCTCAACAAGTGTTGCTTTGGCACATGAAGTGGGATGAGATGAGAGTGGTCCAGGTTTTAGCTATAACTATTAACTGTGAAATAAGCTTAAAAATTTGAGAATATCCTTCATTTTGACTTTGCACAAAACCTCGTCAGGAAAACAAAAGCCAAGAAAGTTGCTGTTCCAATTCCTTATGACCACATCAAACACTAACGGGTTGAGTGTATTATTAAACCTGATAGTTGTAGGCTAGAATAAGCAAATGAAAGCAAGAGGCCCTTGCTTTGGAAAGGCGGCTCTAGCCATAATGATGGAATTTTGTGGGGGGCAACTGTCTTTGTGAATTGGGTGAGATTTACATAGCAAATCAGTTTTCCATTCAACAGTTCAGTCACGTTTAGTTTGAAGTCATTGATTGCAGTCCCCACAAGTAGCCCCATTCAGTCCTCGTTCGTTTCCCAGTTCCATTCCTCCTTCTTTCCCAACTTTTCCTGTCTTCTAAACTTTGTCCTTGAGCAAATGCTGCCCTTTTGATTCAGAAAGATTGATTTTCCTAAGGAGTGTATAGTCACCTTAATTGTTTTTTTAAAAAACTTTTTGTGCAAATTGATTGAAGTTTTATAGAGTAGATCATCAGTTTTACATCCAACAAAACAGATACTTCAATGCAATGATTGCCATCCCCTCCATGTAACAACAGCTAACAGCATTTACCTCTGTTCATTTTAACTCTTACACTCTTCCCTGTTTCCTACTAGCTTCATCTCTCCTCTGATAACCTTCCTCTTGTATATTTATTGCCTGCCTTGTCACCCATGTTAACAAGTGTCTATCCACTAGCATGTAAGTACTCTCCCTCCATAACCATTATAGAAGGACTGTGTCATCAAGAAAACCTTTTCTTAACTTTTTACAACATTGATTTCCTACAATATTTGCCCTTTTGTGATCGACGCAGCACTATATCCTCCAGATTCATCCATGTTTTGAGGTGTTTTGCAGATTCATTGTTATTCTTCAACATGGCTTCGGGTTCCATTGTGGTTTGTGCTGTTCTTCTGTTGCTGGGCACTTCGGCTCGCTTCATCTTTTTGATACGTCTCTTGTAAAGAGCATATTAGAGGAGTCTGCTTTCTTGTCCAATCTGCTACTCTATTTCTCTTGACTGGCGCATTTATGCCATTTATGTTCAGTGTAATTATCAATAGGTTTGAATTGATGGCTGTCATTTTGCTGTGCTTTTGTTTGTGGTCTGCTGATTTGTTTGTTCCACGTAATTTTCTGTATTGAGTTCATTTTGTTTGGGGTTTCCTTTTTTATATTAGTTTCTGTTATGTAAATGTTTACAAAATCTTTCTGATTTTCCTCTTTTTATTTTGATGTAAATGTATATTAATTTTTTTTGAGGTTACCCTGTAATTTTTTAAGTTTCTCCTCATTTAAATCGTCTGTTTTATCTTGCAATCTACTTGACTTCCTGGCCCTTTGGAAGCTTTGTATCTACACTGTTCCCTCTTTTAGCTTTTTAGTTCATTTCACTATCTGTTGATATATCTGGTTCCCTATTTTCTGTCTTGTAGATTTGTTTTATATTAAATACTGTTATATCTGGATTCAGTTCTGGGTGGTGTTGTGATGTATGGTAGTTTCGATTGTTGTCTCCTGTTGTTGGTTCTCAGTCCAAAGAACACCCGTTTGTATTTTTTGTAAAGTTGGTCTGGTTATTACAAATTCCTTTAATTTCTGTTTATCTGGAAGTGTCCTAATTTTGTTGGCATTTTTGAGGGTCAGCTTTGCTGGATATATGATTCTTGGCTGGTAATTTTTTTTTCCTTTTAGTTTTGTATATGTCATCTGCATTGTCTTTTTTCCTGCGTGGTTTCTGCTGAGAAATCAGAGCTTAGTCTCATTGCTTTTCCTTTGTTAATAACTTCATTTTCCATGAGCTGCTCTTAGGATTCTTTCCTTGTCTTTGTTTTTGTAGAGTTTGATTTATGATTTTTCTTTTGGGATCTATCCTGTTTGGGGTCCGTTCAGCTTCTTGCATGCCTGTCTTCTTGTCTTACGTGATGTTAGGGAAGTTTTCTTCCAGCAACTCTTTAAGAATTTTCTTTGTGCTTTTTATTGTGAATTCTGATCACCCATAAGTTATTCTTCTCCCTGGTGTCCCACATAACTCTTAAGTTTTCTTCAGATTATTTTTTCCTTATTGTTATTCTAGCCCTTTAGCATTAAGCGATATATCTTCAAGCTCACTTATTGGGCTTCCATTTCTTCAAATCTCCACCTTTTTTCCCTTTCAATGTATTATCCATTTCTGAAATCTTAGTACTAATCTTCTGGATATCTAATTGCAGATTTTGTAGTGTTTTAAATAATCATTTATTTTGTTTGTTCTTATGGTGTTTTCCTGGATTCTTCTAAAGTTTTTTTTATGTTTTCCTTGCTTTCCTCGATCTTTCTGTCAGTCCTTTGAAGGTACCCAAGTATCATTCTTTGGAATTATTTTTCAGTTTGTTCTATTACCTTGTCTTCCTCAGAAACATTTTCTGGCTTTGCATCTTGGTCATTTGTTTCAGCCATTCTCTTGTTTCTTTTTGTAAGTTAAAATGATCTGTTTTCTCTGGGGCATTGTGGTATTGTCGTATTTAATTAATGATTATATGTTAATATGCTCTTAGGCTCTTACCAACTGTCTCCTGTGGGTGTAGTTAGAGAATGGAAGCATATATACTGTTCTCTGTTCCTGTACTTCAGTTTAGGGTGAATTGGGCTGGTGTTGACTGCTGCCTAGCATAGATCTGGTGGTATTGGCTCTTACTCAGTGGATGGAGCTGCAGGAATAGGGTTGTGGCTGGACTGTTTGGGCATGGTTACTGTCTCCTGTTGGGTAGGAAAGAGGAGAACATTCCTCTCTCCTCCACATCCTCCACACACACACACAAAATAAAACAGAAAAAACAAGAAACAACAATGAAGATTACAAATATAAATAAAAACAGGCAGCAGCCAGAAAAAAAAAAGGAATATAATAACTAAAAAGATAAAAGAGGCCCAGGACAATGGAATAACAGAAAAGTAAGAGAGACAATAAAAGGATGAAAAATTTAAAAACACTTAGAAAAACCAGGGTGAAAGGAGATAAAAAGGAGTGTAAAGAAAGATTAAAAGAAAAAAAAAAAAGATGAAGAGGGGGAATGAGAAACAGAAGAATACAAGTATAAACAAAAGCAAAGATGGAAAGGATAAAATACAAGGTAATGGGAAGAGAAAGAGAAGAAAGAATAAAGAAACAAAAACATCATAACAATGTAAGGAAGAAACCAAACCAGACCAAAACAAAAACCAGTATAGCTGTTGGCCCCAGGGAGAAAACTGGAGGGCCCCTGCCAGCCAAGGAATTTACGAAGTGGGTGCAGGAGGGAGGTGACAGCATGGTGTCAGGCCCTGGATGGAGTCCCTATTGGCCTACATGTCATCCATGTTCAGGACACTCAGTCTGGAAGTAGTTCATAGAGGACCTTGATGGAGCTGGTTTCAGTGTCTGTTAGGTTCACAGGGCAGCTGGAGGCAGCTGGTAATGCTGGTTCACAGGGCAGCTGGAGGTTTGTGCTAGGTAATGCTGGACTAGTGGCTCTGTGGCTTCTGTGGGTCTGGAGTGGAGTCCACCTGAATCCAGGCACCAAAGTGGTACAGCCCCCAGAAAGCAGGGTCTGCACTGGGGTGCATGAGGGTGGGAACTGGCCATACCTCTGGTCACCAGGAGAGTGTAAGAAAACGAAGGAATCGTACCTTTCCTTTCACTTGTGTGAATCTGCTCTGCCAGGCTGTGTCTGTAGCTAAAGTTGCTCACAGAAGCTCGAGGTGGTCATGCTACATGTGGCTGGCCATTCACCAGTCAGTCTTCCTCTCTTGTCGTCCCTGCTCAGGTTCTCCTTCCAGCAAGCTCTCACTCCCACTTCTCTACGTTTCCTCGGAAATTTAGGCAGGGTTCCAGAATTTTCATCTGTGTCTCTTTCATTTGGTCTCTCATGTCTTTGTTGTAGAGGGGCTGTGTGGTGGTCTGCCTAATGCGCCATCTTCATAACTTATTGTTAGATGCTGTTGAGTTAGTTGTTTGAAACTTAGCAACCCTAAGTGGTGGTGGTTATGTACCGTGGCGTCTATTCCAACTCATAGCAAGGCTGTAAATGTTTACAGGAGCAGAAAGCCTCATCTTTCTAGCACAGAACAGCTGGTAGTTTCGAACTGCTGACCATGAGGTTAGCAGCCCAACTCGAAACAACTGTGCTACCAGAGCTTCTTAGCAACCCTACGTACAACAGAGGAAAACACTGCCCTGCTCTGTCATCCTCACAGCCATTCTGAGGTTTGAACCCCTTGTCCCAGCCATTATGTGAATCCATCTCTTTGGGGGTGGGGGAGGCGTCCTCTTTTTTTTGTTGTTGCTGACCCTCTACTTTACCAAGCATGGCGTCCTTTTCCAGGGATTGATCCTTCCTGACAACATGTCCAAAGTACCTGAGACAAAGTGTCCTGATTCTCACTTCTAAGGAGTATTCTGGCTGTGCTTTTTCCAACAGAGATGTGTTTGTTTTTCATGGTGTATTTAATGTTCCTCAGCAATACCATGATTCACAAATACCTTTGAATTCGGTCTTCTCTATCTATTGTTTGCCTGAAAATTCAGCCCTGGGGAAGAGTTCAGTTCCAGACAGGAAGCGGGGGGACCCAAGGGCCATAATCTTGGGAGGTTCTACCAGTATCTAGCTGATCAGTAAGTCTGGTCTTTTTTGTGTTTTTTGACTATTGTTTCACATTTTTCT